GTTTTGAAAAGAAATATTTAGCTGGTTTAAAGTTATTAAGACTTTATTGACTTGACGAGTTATCCATGCCAAATTAGGTACCCTTGATCCCTCCTTTTTTAATCGTTTATGAAGGCAGTCCTTAAAGGACCGATACATATGTGAGAAACAAAGGATAGCTGTTGTAAAGTTAAAAACAAAGCCATAAGATTGGGGTTGATCCTGGGCATGATGTAAGTACCTGTAAGATTAAAAATAAGTTGGCACACATAATGAGAATCAGAGATTAAGTTAAAAGTCTGTTGAGAAAAGATGTGGAAAGCTAAAATAACAACAGAAGAGATAAGTTATTCTGAAAATAAAATTGAAAATCAAATTTTGGGAAAAGAAGAACAATATTAATTAAATCAGTCCCATTTCAAGGACAAGCTTGATTGTGTCCTGAGGTTATTTCAGCAACAGCCTGAATAAAAGATAAAACCTTTTGGGATGGGATAAGTAAAGCCATTCAATACAATATACTTTTTTTGCGCTTCCAACACAGCAAATACTCCTTTAAGTAGCTTACTAGCAAGAAATATCAAAAGTGTTAAGTAACAATTCCTATGTTGTTTTCTTTTGGTCAATAAGTTAAATTCCAAGTTAATCAAAGATAGAAACAAATTTCTATTAAGTAGGTTAAACATTTACAAAACTTAAGTTTTGCTAGCTGAAACTGCAAGAGTGGGGATTAAATTTCATCTCCATTCCCAAACTGGAATTCTAAGCAGAGAGGGGGAAAAAAAGTTTAAAATGAACAGTTCCCCCCCCCCTTCTTTCTTTTGGTCTCTCTTGCTCTTAAAGCAACACAGCCAGTTGAAAAACAAAAGAGACAGGAAAAAATTTTGTTACAAACTTCTCACTACTTATTTTTGAAAGCAAAAACTGGAGTGTTCCATGGACTAGTGGAAGGGGCAATGTGTTTGGCTTGTAATTGTTCTTGAACAAGAATTTTTAAGGCCTGTAATTTGTACAGAGGAAGAGGCCATTGTTCCACCCAAACAGGGATAGTAGTTAACCAAGTTAAGGGTAAGGCAGACACTTTATTCATCGAAGGTGACAGTAGCCCCCAATTTACTAAGCAAGTCTCGTCTCCAAAGGTTGACATGAATGTCAAGAATGAAAGGACGAAGTTGAATAGTTACAGTAGAATTAGGAAGACTTGCAGAAAGAAATTGTGTACTTTGTCGTGCACCTTGTCACCCTCCTACACCCCAGACACTAGGGCATGGGTCAGTGGGCCAAGATGCAGGCCAATCTTTAGCTGAAATTACTGAAACATCAGCCCCTGTATCAATTTTGCCCTCAAAAGGCTTACCCTGAAAAAAGACTGTCTGACGGGGTCGCTGGGTGGTGATTGGGGTGGTTAATGCAATTACAACAGGATCTGTGGAGCCAAACCTGCCGTCCCCTCGATCCCTATCACGACCCCCTGCAGGGACAAAATAGGGCAAATGGAGTAATTGTGCAGGACTAGTATTACTTGGCAAAGTCTGTGGCATGTTAGTCCATAATTGAATAAAGATGACACCTGTATAGTCAGAATCAATTACTCCAGGTATTACAAAAATTCCCTTTTTTCCTATGCTAGAACGAGGCAAAATTAATCCAACATATCCAGAAGGGAGAGGTCCAGAAAGTTGTGAAGGAACTATTTGTATTTCTCCTGGAAATTTGAAACACACTTCTTGTTGGATAGTTAAATCTATCCCAGCACTCCCTCTAGTGGCAGCAGGGCTATTGTTAATTGTTGATGGAATTATTGAAGGGTCTCTGTTTGGACCGGGGCCAGAGACCGGCCTGCTTTGAAGTTTCCCAACCTACATTCATTAGCCCAATGAAATCCCTTATTACACTTAGGGCATTTTGTTTTTGGACGTCTCCCAGCATTATTTTTAAATGGCCGGGAGGCATACTTTCCTCCCCCAGGATTTCTGCAATCCTGTTTAAAGTGTCCAATTTTACCACAATTATAACATTTCCCCTGAGGTTTTGTAAGAGCTGCAGCTAAGAGATTAGTTTGAAAAGAAACAGTCCCTATGTCCTGACATGCTTTGATCATTTCTGCTAAATCTGGTTGAGCTCCCAATCCAATAATGGCCCGTTTACATTCAGAGGTGGCATTTTCTTTAGCCAATTTCATAAGCAATTCAGCTTGGGCATCAGGATTATCAATTTGTCATCTCAAGGCATTTTGCAGACGGTTAATAAAATCTGCATATGGTTCATTTGCCTTTTGACAAATATTTGAAAATGCTTGAGATGGTTTCCCAGTTATAGGAACTTTTCCAAAAGCTTTGTAAGCACATTCAGAGGATATTTGAAGAGTAGCTATAGGCAAAACAATTTGTGCATCCACTGGAGTGTAATCACCAGAGCCATATAACTGCTCTGGGAGGTAAGCACCTCCAGAAGTTGCTGCTCTTAATGCACATTGATGTCTAAACTCACTATCCCATATCACATACTGAGCTGGTGTTAATAACATACAAATTGTTGTTTTCCAATCTTCTGGTACCAAAACATGATTCCTCATTGTTGCTTCTAACATACCTTGCACATATGAACTACCTAACCCAGTATCTCTTATATCCTTATGCAATTCTGTTAAGATTGCATAAGAAAGTGGTTTATTTATTTATTTATTTATTTACAAATATTTATATGCCGCCCAATCCCAAAGGACTCAACCACTGGGGCTCCATTTGCATCTGTACAGGACAAACTGAGAGCATATCTGCTATTTCCTGCATATCTCTCTCTCCTTTCGCCATTTGATTTTCTAATACATGGCGAATAGAAACGTAAGATCTAGAATTCTTTTGCTCTGAAGGTGTTACATCTATCGTGGAAGATATAGGAACTGATGGAACTGAAACCTTTTCATGATTAAAACCTGGAGAGGGAGTAGAACTTAATTGTACTGCATCAGCTCCATATTTTTCCACTGCATGACGACATTGATGCCAACAATGCAAAACATCCACTGAGGCTCGGGGTTCCTGATGAAGGGTGTTACCTAATCTTTCCCAATCCTTAAGTTGGAGTGTCCCCCTTTCAGGATACCAAGGACAGTTTTTTCCTATCTCACTCACCAGCTTCCTAAGCTCCCGTTCAGGCATGGTCATGCCCCGATTTGTGTAAGAGAAACTTTAACTCTCTTACATGCTTTTGCTGATGGTGAGATATATCGCAGCCCATACTTGCAGTTTGAGAAATCTCGCAGGACGAGAAGATGAGAAGGTGCACCAAGGGGTCTGTTCCAGATGACTGTAACTATGTTGGTTGCTGCTTTCCCTCGGCAGGGGATGTCCCAGTTCAAGGCGCCATTTGTAGCGATGCTAAGAAAAAGACTCAGGCATGTCTTGAGCAGAGGTTTGAAGCTGTATGACACAGCTTCACTCAGCTTCTTAAACTCTGAGTTTATTGTTTCTTATATACTTTTTACATACATAGGCTTTACCATTAACTCCTGACATTTTACATTTAGAAGTTTAACCTTTAGTTGTTGACATAAAGTAATTGAAAAATTCCTTCATATAAGCAATTATTTTCTAGTAACACATTACCTGTTGAAAGCAGGTAAAAACAAATACAGGTAAATTAGAAAAGGAGAAAGAACTGATAAAGACAAGAAGAGATAAAGACAGGAAGAGATAAGGGGGAACTTAAAGCATATTATTTATTTAGGTGGGTAAGATATTAAGTCAAAAGGGGGTCATCTTTTGGCTGCTTCCTTGGGACAAAGGGTATCAAAAGGTTATGAGGTTTGTGGGGGGCAATGCATGGCAGTTTGCTGCACGTGCAAATTCCTCCACAAAGTGACAGCCTCAAGCTTTGTGGGATCAGGTGATATTCCTTCTGGAAAGACAAGATGACCCAGATATGTAACATAATGTTTGGTAAAATTGGCATTTCTCTAATGACAGTTTCAATCCTTCCTCATGGAGCCTGGTCAAAACGTTCTCCAAGCGCTCCTTGTGTTCTTCAGAAGTCTCACCAAAGACAAGGATATCATCTACGTAGACTAACCCCTCTAACAAATTCATGTCTCCCACATGTTTCTTTTGAGCATCTGATACATCCCATTCTTCAACAGCCTGTACTGCCTGCTCCATCCAGTTTTTGTATTCTTCCTCCCCCTGTGGCACTGGTTGTATCCCTGAAAAAATACATAGTTTCTTGTACCCAACCCCAGCACAGTGGTTGCCAGTCAGGGTTTGGATGGGTATCCGGCTCCCCATGGTCTCGGCAGATCCTGCCTCTGCTGCCCCTACGGTAATCAAAGTACGTGTCTCCTCTTGGGAGTCCAATGTCTTTGCCATTACTTGGTTTCTAGACATCATGTGCAAATGGGTGGACCTCTTAATTTTTTCTGAATGTTGATTTGAATTTTAATTGAAGTCCACAAGTCTTAAAGATGCCAAAGTTGGACATCCCTGCTCTAGAGAATACTATGAGTAGCCAAGGAAACAAACAAATGAATCCATAATGCTGAAAAAGATGGAAGGGATAAAGAGGATGGCCAGCAGCAAAATGGATGGATTTGATTATAACTGTAATAGTTGCCATGGTGGATGGCCTCCAGGACCAGACTGGGGACATATACATCATCCTAGAAGAGTCAACATCAATAGGACAGCACTTAATCTCTATTAGTTAGGTCAATAATGGAGCTGAGATTTGACAGGGTCCTCAATATGTATAACTCACACTATCTTTGTGCATAGCCGCTATATAATTTTGTATTCTTAAAATACCCTTAACTGCAGAGGTATCCTGGGGTTAATATGACTGACTGACTTGGAGAGTTGTTTTTCTCTTTTTGCACAATCTGCATTTATCCCCTTATCTAATCAAACTTTGACTCAATGTCTCCACATATTTATTTTTCCTTTCCTCTTGTTTGCAGGACCTTCTGCAAATATTGCATCTCCCCAGTTAAGCAAATGCAAGAGGCAGGTGGTGGGGGAGAGCGAACAGAAACATTCCATAAAAAGGAGCACCTGAAGTTAGGTTCTCTGGAGTCTTCCTTCCTTCCAACTAGTGCCTGGTACATTATCTCTGAACCCAGCCATGAATTCCCTGGTAGCTCTCGTGCTCCTGGGTCAGATTATAGGATCTACGCTTAGCTTTCAACTGGCGCCAAATATGGATTGCAACACCAAAGGCACTAAAGACTGGGCAGATATAGGTGTGCGCTACATCAACGAGCATAAACTACATGGATACAAACAAGCCCTCAATATAATCAAGATTTTCCGTCTCCTTCCCTCGGTAAGTACAATGGGAGGAAAATTTTCCTAGTTTCATTTACTAAGCAAATAACAGCTAGGTGGTCTTTTCTGATGTTATGCCAGACAATTTCTTTATATATATATAAATCACACGCTCCCAAAGAACAGCACAGAATATGAATGGAAGGGAAGGAATTGCCAACGGACTGATGACCGCGCTACACTCTATGAGGGGGGAGGATGGGAATGATCGATCTGGTGAAGCATCAAGACAAACATACCCGAGAAACCCTCGCCCCAGTCACCTGGTTGGGACGACGGAGGCTTCAAACTAGTCCCCACGGCATTTCGGAGCTTATCAGCATTGGGAATGAGGGAGGAGGGATGGTAACTGCTTGAAAAGATGGTGATTGTGGGACCATCAGATGTATGAAAGAGGAGGGTGAAACGCTTGATAGTATAGGTCAAGACAGGGCATTTAATAAGGAACCTCATGGTAGGAGGGATGGCAGTGAGAACAATGGACAGGAAAGAGGTGGAAGTAGTAAAAAATCCGCTGTGAGGGAACACCCCGGTAAAAGGGGTGAGAAGATGAAACATCCCAAGGAGTTGGATTGTGTGTCTATTCGAAGTAAGATAAGGTATACTCCCAGTTCACGGATACAGGAGGAGGAGAGGGAAGTGAGTAACAGTAAGTGCGCAGGTAAGGGAAGCAAGTGCAAATTGGTTATTAACACAGAGATCAAGACCGGAGCATTGATTGGTCGGTCAGGACCCATGACGAGATCCATGAATCGGGTGCAAACAGCTTTGTCATCTATAAATAAGTTCTCCCATTGACCTAAACAATCCCTGACGATGTTGGCAGCAGCCAACGAAAGCTTGGAGGAATTTTATCTAATTAAAACTTTTATAGTTTTTAACCTTTCTGGTGTTCACGCTTGTTTGTTGTTCATTATGAATATACCCAGGAATCATTTTATTTTTAATATCGTTTTTGATATTGATTGATATATATATCAATCATATATATATATGTAGGTCTTTGGTTATTCGGGTTTTCTCCTGCGTCAAATTGGAAGTGTCTTGGCGACGTTTCAACGAAGTCTCATTCATTATCTTCAGACTGGTGCTTTCAGCTTCGTGCTCCTTAATGGTTGTAAAAATACAAATCCCGGGCATATTTGTTCAATGATGCAATCTTCGATCTCTGGGAAGAGTATACTCCAGTTATTTATTGTTACAACAACACTTAAAAACAATAAAAACAGTTATATACAAGGTTAAAACAACTTAGCTTTCACTGGTCCTCTGCCAGCGTCCTCAGAGTGGGGCTTAGGGGGTGGGAAAGTTCTTTTTATCCCCTTGCTGATCCAACTGCCTACTCATTGCCCTCGTGACAGGGCCACTCTTCCTGATTGCCTGTAACTGCCTTAACCGTTCCGCCCTCTCTTTCTTGCACTCCAATTTTGTATTTTTCTGCTCTGTCATCCTTGTACCACCTTCTCCTCCCTGCGCTGTTATTACTAACACACTCCTCAATCCCTCCTCTCTACCCAATGCAAGGTGCCTCCTCCGATTCGACACCACACGAGTCCTGTCACGGAGTTCCTCTTTTTTATTCTCCCTGTTGGGCTGCTGATCTACCTGCCGTTTTTGCGTTCCATTGCCAGTTCCTATCTCATCTCCCTGCTCCAACTCCCTTCCTCTCCTAACCTGCCGATTCATACACCCTTTTTGTCTTCTGTTGTCCACTCCTGTCATCCCTCCCTTCTCCAATTTTTCCCTTTTCCTAACCTGCCTACTTGTGTACCATTCCTGCCTGCCATCCTCCTCTCCTATCACTCTTCCCTTCTCCAAACTATCTCTTCTCCTCTTCTGCCGGTCTACCTGCTGTTCCTGTTTCCCATCATACCTTCCTATCAACCTTCCTCTCTCAGGTAGTTGTCTACTTTTTTCAGTCTGACGATCTCCCTGCTGTTCATTTCCTGCCCGATTCATTCCTGTCCCTCTTTGCTCCCTCAACACTTCTCCCCCCCGCCCCCCAATCCATCCATGCTTGTATTACATCATTCACTCCCATCACTCCTTCTTTCTCCAATTCTCCTCTATCTCTAACCTGCCCGTCCTGCCCTACGTCATCCATTCCTGTCAATCCCCCTTCCTTCAACCCTCCCACCTGTTGATTAACATATCGCTCCTGCCTTTCATCAACCATTCCTATCGATGTTCTCCTCCTCAATATCTTTCCCCTCCTAGTCCGCTGCTCTACCTGCTGTTCCTGTTTGCCCTCCTCCACTGCTGTCCATCTTCCCCTCTCCAATGTCCCCCCCGTAATCTGCTGACCTGCCTGCTGTTCATCCATTTCTGTCCATCCTCTCTTTTCTAGCATTCCTCCTCCTCTAACCTGCTGTCCTACATGCTGTTCCCACATGCCGATATCCGTTGCTATTACACTCTCCTTCCCAAGCTTTCCTCCCCCCCAGTCTGCCGTCCTGCCTATTATTCTTATCTGCCCTTCTCCCTTCCTGTCAGTCCCACCCTCTCCTGTTTCCTCCCCCCTCTCCAATCCACTGCTCGATTTGCTGTTCCTTCCAGCATTCTTCCTCCCCTTACCTGCTGTCCTACGTACTGTTCCCACCTACCGACATGCGTTCCTGTTGGACTCTCCTTCCCAAACTTTTCTCCCCCCCCAACTGCCGTCCTGCCTATTATTCCTGCCTGCCCTTCTCCATTCCTGTCAATCCCACCCTCTCCTGTTTCCTCCCCCCATCTAATCCGCTGCTCTGCCTGCTGTTCCTGACTATTCTCCATTCTATATAATTTTTCAAACAAACAAAATACACAATACACAATACATTTTCTTTTTTCCTTAACAATACTATGTCTTATATCTCTTACATTTATTAACAGTTATTTACATTACTTCTCTTACCTTTTTATTCCTTAATTCTAACCAGCTATAATACATGTCCCATACCTCATGAAATTCAGTAATTTCTTTGTCTTTCATTTCTAGAGTTAGTTTGTTCATTTCTGCACAGTCTAAAATCTTTCCTATAATCTTTGCACTTGTTGGTATGTTTTCATTTTTCCAATGTTGCGCATATGTAATATGTGCCGCCGTTACATATTGGAGACATTTTTCAATTTTGGGGTTAATTATATCTAGTAAAAATATTTCAGGCTTGAATTCAATTTGTTGTCTTGTTATTTCCAATATCCATCTTCTTATTTGCTCCCAGTAAATTTTTGCTTTGGGGCATTGCCACCACATATGGTAAAATGTTCCCTCATTGTTTTTACATTTTCAGAAATCTGGATTCATATTTTTATAGATTTTGGCCAATCTCGCCGGGGCTAGATGCCGTCTGTAAAACATTTTAATTTGGTTTTCTTTATACGCTGTTGACAATGTTAATTTGCAATTTACGTTCCAAATTCTTTCCCATTCATCTAGTCCTATATTTCTACCTATATTTCGGGCCCATGCTATCATCGGGCCCTTTACTATTTCCTCTTCATAGAATTCAATAGAAATTTATGGTTTTTGTTAAGAATTTTTCTCCTTTGTTTATCAATATTTTATGCAATTGCTGTAATGTTTGATATATCCCATATTCCTCCACATCTTTATTATATTTTGATTTTATCTGTGCATATGGCCACCAATAAATAATTATTCCCTGTTCTCTTAATTCGTCTCTTGATCTTAATTTCCCTTGATTATCTAATAGTTCTTTATACCTAATCATTTTTATTTTATCTAATGTGTTAGGATGAATCATCGCCTCCATTGGTGAAATCCAAATTGGAATTGTTGTATAATATTTTTTTTAGTTTTTCCCCATATCCAATTTAATGCATCCTTATCTGATGTTGGGGAAAATATGTATGAATTTTCTTATCTTTCCCCCATAAAAAAGTGTGCCATCCAGTTTGTAAATTGTGATCTTCAATTGTAAGAACGCTTTTATTTTCTAAATTTATCCAGTCACTGATCCAAAGCAGACCAGCTGCTTGGTAATAAATTTCCCATTTTGGGAGTCCAAGTATGCCAGACAATTTCTGTAGCCTTCCTGCTGAAATTTGGGCAATTCACGGCCTCTTTCTAAATCTAGTCAATGTTCTGTAATCTCATAGCTTCCATTTTAGTTGAATTGCTGGACGGGTGTGGATAATAGGATTGGTAGTCCACCACATCTGGATGGCATCAGATTGGAAAAGCTATCATGAAAGAGGAAGCTCTATCTTCTCCACTGTCCCAGTGTGAAGGAGTCCTCCTTGAACTGGAGGTGTATTTTGCTTTGCAAGGATGGCAATTTGCATAGAAAACAAGACAGCAGAGCCTTTTACTTATGCTAATACTATTTTCAATGAAGTTATTTACAACAGGTATTTACAACTGGAATGATGTCTATGGAGATTCTCAATCATCCAGGTCCTTGTTGTCCCAAAAGTGTTTTCAAAAAGCAGCTGGACTTTCTTGGGGGTTTTTTTCCCCCGTTAAAAAGGTTTCACTGTTCATCCAAGAAGCTTTTTCAGCTTCCTGGATTAGAAGTGAAATATTTTCAAGGAAAAAAAAACAAGCCCAAGACAGTCCAGTTGCCTTTTGGGAAAGCACTTTTGGGATTACAACTAGACTAGAGCATACAATGTTCCCCTGGTGTCAGGTTTTCCTCTTCCCCTTTAGTTCTCCTGCTTCCTCCTGCTTTCACTCTGTCTCCTTCCCTCACTTCTCAGCTTGTCCAGAGAGAGTGAAAAGAAAGGAATGGGCTGGATTTTAACAGTAGTGCACTCAGCACAGTTTGACTTTCTCCTAGATCTGCTCAGCAGAACATCTACTGCTTCTCTACTGGGGGAGAACCTTTCTCGGGGCCTTCCACCCCATCCTTCCCCAAAGACTAAGGCTTTTCCAGTGACCAAAGATCTCCTCGATACTTTCTTGGGTACTGCATGACAATACTATCTGCAGCCAGCTGGTCTCCTCCATCTTGGGTGAAGATGTTCCTTCTCTGGGTCTTCGCTTTCCTTCTTTCAGGGAAGTTATCTCTGGACTTTTTTTCTAGCAGAAGAGAATACAGGTAGATCAGCATTCAACTCTGAAATTCTTGGTGCACTGATGATCTTATCCAGTGCTTATTTTGTAAAAAAAAAAAAAAAAAAAAGTGCCGGAACTCACCCAGGTCGTACAATCTGCCTTGCCTACCCTACAAGGTTCCATCCAAAAAGGTTCCAGAACTCCATTCTGGGCGTTTTATGAGAAAAAAAGCCTTGATCTTACCTAGGTCATTATCTTCATTCATGTAATGAAACATCTGCATGGAAACCACCAAGCTCAGAGAGCTCCAAGGATTCCACAATTTTTTTCTTCTCCTTCCCCTACTGGGAACTGACAACTGTTCTGTACGCTGAACTTCTCTGTTCAACTTTTTTCTCCAGCCATTCCGTTTTGTACAGTCTCCTTCTTTCTTATCCTTCCCTCTCCAATTTTTAGTGAGACCAGCAGCATGTTCTCTGAGGAGATGGATGTCCTGCTAGGGCTCCAATTTTCTATTTTGGTTATTTAAAAGGAAATATTTTTAGATTTCCACTTGAAAAAGATGTCTTAGGCCAAGGTTGGTACAGACATGACATGGCCATCCTGTTGTTTCTTCACCAGAGTCAGTTTGTTGTTTCTATTGTTCCTTCAGCAAGTCAGAATGGGTTCCGGTCCAGGATTGGCAGAGAACTCGATCCTTATGTTGAGCTAGGACCAACAAATTCCTTTTTGACAGTCCTACAAGTTCCCACGTCTTTATAATAAAAACTATTCAGATGCTGGATGGAGAGTTACAATGTAAGCCACATCCTTTCCCTGGTCACGCAATGCATCACAAAAGAGGCAGGGTTTGCATTCTGTTGCTCCTTTCACCATTTTGCTGATAGTGACAGACAATGCCCCCATCCCAATGAATGCTTATGCTTCTGACTGCTGCTTCTTCAGCTCTCAGGTCCTTAGAAAGAGAGGATGGTCAGCTTGTGATCTGCACCATACAGATAACATGTTTAACCAGTTCAGAGAAGGTTTTGGTGATTTCATTTGGTTATGCAGAATTTGGTATGAGCACTGGATAAATTTGGTGTGTCAGCCCGGCCTCTTGGGTTATTTAATGGTATGGTGTGTAATGGAAATGCAGAAAATGGTTAATTCTGCAACTGGGTTAAGTGTTGTGTGAAATCTCCAATTGAGAAAAATAGCTCTATCCCAACCATCCAGACTTCATTAGACCCCTGTCCCAACAGTTGTCCTACGTATCTGTAGATAGATGGCCAGGACTACCAGATGCCATTTTTCGGACCCAAAATGCTGTTGGTTAAATAGACAATATGCACATATGTGAATCATGCAATGTCAGAAAGAGGCAGTTTCTTCCACCCAGACCTGCCAAAACCAACAACTGGGAAATTAACTGAGATCTGCAAAAAAAAAAAAAAAAAAAAACCTCAAATCACAGGCAGAGCAGATCAGATGTTCATGTCAGAAAACGTCAGTTTTGTCTGCCTTGCAACATCCAAAGGAAATGTGTCTAACCTAAGGCAGCATTGAAATTTCCTGTTGGGTATATTTTCTTTAAAGCAGTTGATAACTGAGAAGCACACCAGGACGTGGTCATTAACTTAGGTGTCAATTCAAACATTTTGAAGGACAGCTGATGCAACAGAGACAGAAAAATGCAGTGAGAAAAGTCATTCTCATTCTAATTTTTTTTGTTTTAGGATGGCCTTTCGGTGATGTTCCACTTTAAATTAAATCTTCTGGAGACAGAATGTCACGTGTTGGATCCCACTCCTGTCGAGAATTGTATTGTAAGGCAAAAGAATAATCATGTAAGTGTCTGAGGGTTGTTGAAAATGTAAAATTCCATGGGAGGACAGGTGGCCTCTTACCACTGCACTAAGAATAAATTGAATATCTGATATATTGGTGTACAAAGAATTAATGAAACCTCAGGGGTCGCTAACATTCCATGGGCATTCATTTTGAGTTCACATTTCATAGCCAGATTTCATTTCAACTCTGAGCAATGAATTAGTCAGGAATTAAGAAGTCAATTCTTCTTTCACATTCATCCCGTGATGTCCAAAGCTGACTTCTTCCCATCCCGGAATCCATGAAAAGTGCCTTATTGCTCCTCTATTTAAAAGAGAAGGGATCCAACTTTAGCAACTTTAAGACCTATGGACATCAACTCCCAGAATTCCCCAGCCAGCTGTGTCCAAGGTTGGTCGTCCCAGGTTTATAGGTTAATGCCCAATTTTTGTCAATATTGAACTGGCCAAGTAGAAGTTCTCATATTACAGCATGTGGAAATGTTTCTCCAAAGACACCAATAAGATGGTTTGGAAGGAAGTAGGCATGTCAGGCTGAAAACAAGAAAGACCTGCTAAGTTACAGCAAAGCAATTTTCCCTTATTGTTCCTTACCTATAGACAGAAATCATGCCAAACTAAAGCAAACTGCGTGTGTCCTTAAATTTATACTCAGAACTTCTAGGGAGGAGCTGTCTTGATCCTCTTCTTCCCAACCAAACTATGTAAACTTTGCTGTCTCTTGCTCCTCTGGAATGCAACCCCTCCCTCCTGGGAATTCAGACAACATTCCACCACAGTGCATTAGCTACCATAATGATGGCTGCCTCAAAATTAGTCTACCCAAGTTACTAGTGCACAGTGCTCATTTTAACAATCTCCTATCTGTTAAAAAATGAGATATGTTGTAATGGACATAAATCCTACTGATGCTAAAATTCTCCAGAAGCACCAGTTTTAAAACACCAACCTAAAATGGTTAGCTGAATTATGTTAAATTAAAGTTTAACCTGTTTCATTTGATACTTTTGTATCTCCAGGCTGTTGAAATGGACTGTAATGTCAGGATAATCCATGATATTGCGACTTTTGGAGACGAGGTTTTTGTGAAATGCAATTCCACTCCAGGTAATTCATCTTCGTGCCTCTTGGACTCTTAGTTGGGCTGGGTTCAAGAAACTAAGGTGTCACTGAGCTAACCATTGGCTTATTCTCTTTTCCTATTCTTTTTTTATTAACTTTTTGTTATTTGTGATTTACGCACACAGCCTTTCTTCAAAATTTAGCAGCATTTTAGCAGCATCCTGAGATGTTTCATCCGAAGCACGCATTGCTTTAATTTAGTTGTAAGGAAATTCAAGTCAAACTAATGAGATGGAGTGGATTACTGAATTGGATGCTTCCAAACCATTTATTTTGCATCTACAAAATCTTTTTTTCTCAATCTGATTAGCAATACAAATTAAAATGCTATTTTAAATCCTTTGAAATGATGGATTTGAATCAAATTGACAGTTCAAATCATTTAGATGCTTGGACATAGACTGGAGCCAGTTATACAACCTTAATAAAGCATTTGGCATTCCTTCCTTCCTTCATTTATTCCATGCTATGGAAAATTTTCAACTTATCTAAAAAAAGAACAATCATTATTCAGATCAAACAGCAAAAACTACGGCTCAAAGTCTATTGAACGTTACAAAACATCAAAATATTTAAGTGCAAAATGAGAGAAAAAAGACAGGCAAAGCAAGGGGAAGAAACAAAGAGAGAGAAAGAGTTTGATCAACACCCATCCATCCATCCATTATTTATGTCTCTCTATATTTATATATCAAAAGGAATTGACCTTCCTAGAACCACTAGAAATGATATTGTGGGTATTTAACACTGACATTTCAAAAGGGAGTGGCCTTTGATTATTCCCGCTTGAACCCTTTCAGGTACATTGCAGTGGAAGAATAGGGACAGAAAGTAGGACAACAGGTGATCCCTCTTCTTTTTTGTCCCATTAAAGAAACTATTTGATGGATCAGGACGATGTATCTGACAATAGTTTGGAATGCCTACCTAGACGTAGTTACAATCCTGAACTTAACGACAGAATTAAGCCCAAACAATCTGTTGCTAAGCAGGACAGTTGCTAAGTGAATTTTGTCCTGTTTTACAACCTTCCTTGACAGTTGTTTAGTGAATCCTGCAGTGGTTGCTGCATGACTCTGGCTTCCCCATGGACACTGCTTGTCAGAAGTTCGCAGAAAGGGATCACCTGATCCAAGGACACTGCAGTCGTCCTATATATGAGGCGGTTGTCAAGTGTCTGAAGTTTGGTCACGTGACCATGGAGATGCTGCAATGGTCATACCCATAAGTGTGAAAAACAGTCATTAAGTCCCCTTTTTTCAGCATTGTTGTACCTAAAGGAATGACTGTAATTCAGACTCCTGGCAATTTACTCAGATTTAATGGGGAAGCCAGATTCACTTAACAACAGTGAGACTAATTTAAGAATGGTAATAATTCACTTAACAACTGTGGCAACAAAGGTCATAAAATGGGGATATTCACTTAACAAATGTTTTGCTTCGCAACAGAAAGTTTGGGCTCAATTGTGGTCATACGTCAAGGACTGCCTGTACTTATGCTCTCCCATTGCAAAAGCCGTAACTTTAACCTGCTGTCCAACTTTTTTTTAACCCGCTGCCTAAAATTTCCTGACCGTTAGGATAATGAATGAGATGTTGTGGGTGCTCCAACAACGGAAGTTTTTAAGAAGAGATGGGACAGCTGTTTGTCTGAAATGGTGTAGGGTCTCCTGCTCTTTTGTAACAGTTCTCACCTAAGATTGCCATCTGCTTTAAACACCCTTCTTGATATTTCTTTTTCTTTCCAGATTCTGTGGAAAATGTGCGGCGAAATTGTCCTAAATGTCCAATTCTGTTGCCTCCGAATGACCCTCACGTGGTAGACTCTGTTGAATATGTGCTTAATAAACACAATGAACAACTTTCCGGCCACGTTTACGAAGTTCTTGAGATTTCAAGAGGGCAGCACAAAGTAAGTGTTCAGATGTTAAAAACGAATTCTGTTCATCTCTTCCAGTTTAACGTTTTGATACTTCATATAACTAAAAAAAAGGAGGAGGAGACAGGAGGAATTATGTTGTGCAAAAAGTCTAGGAAAAGAACCAGATACCCACAAAGGAGAATATTTGTTGCTCAGGATTGAAATGAGGAGTCCTTCGTGCTCTCTGAGCTTCGTTGCTTTCTTGCAGACATTTTAATAACCAAACTAGGTAACATCATCAGTGCTAGACCGATGATCGACTAGAACGGATGACGTTACCTAGTGTGGGCAGTGAAATGTCTGCAGGAAAACAACCAAGCTCAGCGAGCACCAAGATCCCGCAAAGAACCAGCTGCTAAGAAAAAAAGGGAGAGGCAACTTTTCAAGAACCAGGAGCGGTAGCCAATTTTTTAAAATTTATGTTCCAAGCCTCTGACTGTAGTGAACAAGGATTCACTGACGTTTTATTTATAAAATATAAACCCAGCTAAAACGTCTCTTGCTTTGATTTCAGTATGAGCCTGAAGCTTTCTATGTGGAGTTTGCTATTGTGGAGGTTAACTGCACTGCTGAGGAAGCCCACGATGACCATCATCACTGCCATCCTAATACAGCAGGAGAAGATGTAAGTGAGAGGGTCAACTCCAATCTTATCTGGGCAGTTCCCATTTTTCTCTCTCTTATCTATCCTAGCCAACCCCAACCACTTTCCAAATAAGTGTGCAAGGCCAAATATTCCACAGAGAGAAATTGAGACTTGAATCTGGCTCTCACCAGCCCAAATCCTACACTTTAACCTCTGCACAACCTTAATTTCTTCACAATTCATCCAGAAATAATGCCTCCCCAAAACCTCCTGCCAACATCTGAAGAAGAATATGATGTTGATTTACTTTAAGAAATTGGGTTGTAACCTGACCGGATTCTTTCATTCAGTAGTAGCTTTATCTTTTCCCCTGCATAGCAGTCCTTTCACCATTTCAGGTTTGCTGATATGTGGAGGATTTATTTGGGTTCTTAGTTCTTCCTTCTCTCCCTCCTTTTCTCCAGCATATTGGATTCTGCAGAGCAACTGTTTTCAGGTCGCATGCTAGCCTGGAAAAACCTAAAGATGAAAAGTTTGAGTCGGACTGTGTCATCCTTCATGTCAAGGTATGTATGTTAAATGCAATTTTGTTCATCCTCTTTCCCCATTCTTCACAGCAGTGTTTGTCAACCTCATCAACTTTGAGATGTGTAGATTGAACTCCCAGAATTCCCTAGCCAGGAGGCTGTCTGGGGAATTCTGGGAGTTTAGGTCCACCTATCTCTTGGTTTCCTTTTATCCATTCCATCCACCCAAGCAGCTCAAAATTAACTTCCTGTTCCAGCTATCGATTCCCCTGCATCCCTTCACATGAGTAGATGCTCTGATATATAATAAAGTCTGATATGTAAACACTAGATTATTTTATTTATATACTTTCTTTTCCCTCAGATTATTATTTTACCCTCACCATTTTGGATTGTAGGTTGGGCTGAGACAGAATAACTGGCTCAGAGTTACCCAGAAGTTACCCAGGAAGGGTTTGAATCTAGATCGCCCCAATCCAACTCTGGCCCCTTAATTGCCAGGCTATTCATTCAACAAACTGTGGTTATAACACATTACGCCTTGGTGATATGCCTTACAATAAGAGAAAGAAGATGGCCTCCAAGGTCCCTTCCATCTCTGTTATTCTGTGTTCTGTTAACTGAAAGACTAATTGCTCGTTTTCAATTTTATTCATTTGATTTCTATTCCAACACTCACCAACTGCCAAATTACAGCAAGTCCTCAGTTTAAGACCACAACCCCATTTTTTATTGCTAAGCGAGACTGTTGTTTTGCCCCATTTTAAAATCTTTTTTGCCACAGTTGTTAAGTGAATCACTGCCGTTGTTAAATTAGTAACACGATTGTTAAGTGAATCCGGCTTCCCCATTGACTTTGCTTGTCAGAAGGCTGCAAAAGGGGATCACAGGACACGGCAACCGTCATAAATAGATTCTGACTGAAAAGCATTTGAATTTTGATCATGTGACCATGGGGATGTTACAAGGGTCATAAGTGCGAAAAACGGTCATAGGTTGCTTTTTTCAGGGCTGTTGTAATTTCAAAGGGTCACTAAACAAATGATTGTAAGTCGAGGACTACCTGTATTGACAATATTAACAGCAGTTGGTTTTCTTGATTCACTTTTGTCAAGCTGGATTTTAATGTGTTGGAAAGTTCAAAGCAGGATAAGCTTCAGGTTCAATGGCCGAAGTCTTGTGGAAAAATAAAGCCTTAAAAATGTAAGGACTTTTACAAAATTCCATGGGTGAAAGAGAGATCTTTATTTTTGCGCAAAAAGGTTCAGAAGTGATTTAACAATCAACAAATTTCTGAACAAGGGGGAGGGTCTAAACTAAAGCTTTATAGGTTTCTTTTTCTCAGGAACAAAGGAAGCATAGATGAAATCTTACCTTGTATATGGAATCTACTTTGTGTAACATTCAGATAGTTTCTCCCACGTTAGGTCCATTTCTCATGGGAATACAATGAAGGCAGTTTTTTACTTTTATACAATGTTTCTAAATCTGCATTAGGTCATTCACGTACTGTTAATACAGCTTTTGGCTAACACAGCTTTCTTTCAGAGATTATGCAGACACATGATTTTTGCTTTTAGTGGTTTTTCATTATTATTATTATTTTACTTTATTCTTCTTTATTCTATGTTATTCTATTTCTTTCCCACTTTAGAAGAAGACTCATCAATGCTTGCATGTTTTGTGTTTTTTTTCCAGAAGGGACACGCTTACTCCCATTTGATTGAGCATCACGTTGGAAAATATAATACTTCCCCAGGACGCAACAGTACTGATGAATGTGTGGTGGAATGCCCAGTTGCTTTTGTTAACAAAGAAGTCCCAAAAGATATATCAGATCATGACACACCCCCTGTGGAAGGTTGTCCAGGAAAAGCACTTCACTTCCAGCTGTAGACCAGCCATACTAGAGAGCATAGAGAAACCACCCAGTTAGTGCAAAACCATTTTCCAAATCTGAACTCAAAGCTTGAATCCAAAAAGGGTTTACCCTGACACATTACAGTCTTTGCCACATGTTGTGATCATCCATGGTTGTTATAACAAAGGGGCTTTGTATTTGTGCCTTTCTGCTTATACAAATGCAGGTTCTGATGCTCACTTAATATCTTCCTGTCCCTCTCTCTGTTCAGCCAAGGAACGAGAAAAAAGTTGATCAGAAGTTATATTAGTCCTAAAGTCCAAATTCTTCCTTTTTATTCTTTTAAAGAGAAAATGTGTAGCATTTGACAACAATACCCCCAAAGTCCCATCACCTCTATTTCTTGCGAGATTTGTTTTTCCCAGAATGTTTCACTATGCTACATTATTTGACAGGGGCAAGTTGAACAAAGTCCAAATATACTGATAGAAAAAAGCAGAGGGTACTTTCTAAATAAATTGTTCAATTCTAAAATTGCCTACCTCTTTGTTTTGCTTTACGTTTGTGGCCAGATGGTCTTGATCACTCTGAATCAGAATTCTGGGAATTATAGTTCAGCACCTCTGGAAAGGATATGGAGTCGACCTATGCTCCCAAGCACCTGAAGGCAGAACAAGAAGCAACAGATGGAAACTAATCAAGGAGAGGACCAATCTAGAACTAAGGAGAAATTTCCTGACAGAACAATTAATCAGCGGGATTGGCTGAGAGGTTCTGGGTGCTTCATCACTGGAGATGTTAAGAAGAAGTTGGACAGTCATTTGTCTGGAATGGTATAAAGTCCCCTGATTTAGCAGGGGGTTGAACTAGAAGACCTCCAAGGTCCCTTCTAATTCTTTTATTCTATTATTCTTCAGTCCAATCACAAAACCTAAAGGCTTACACAACTGATGACCCCTCACTAACCAATTGAGTATATTTGGACTCATTTAGCCTATGTTATATATAGGGGTAAACTGATCTATTCTTTGAACAAGACTCATTCCATTTTCTGCTTCTCAGCTCCTCTAACTAGACCATTATCAGCAAATGAACTCCACCGGAAGACTAGAGCTATACTTTATTGAGATAGGCTAGTATTTCTCAACCTTGGCCATTTTAAGAGTTGTGGACTCTAACTTCCAGAATTCCACAGGAATAAGGATAGGCTATAATAACAGAAGCTTGCTGATCATATTGTATATTCTCTCTTCCTTCTTATACCCCAGTGAATGAGGCATTTGTTTGCCTCAGCTGTTTCTGAATATTATTTTGCTTCCCAGAATTTAAAGAACATTTCAGCCTCTTTGGCTTTTGGAATGATTGTTACATATTTCTGTCAAGGTCAACCTCCATTACTCTCTACACTGTCCTGCCACATTAAGGCTCCTTATTCAGAAAACTCACACATTTGAATTTATCCACACCTGTTTCATATGTTGTCACAACTTTGTTCTGGCCGGGAATGATTTCTTGGTGCAATAAAATACCAAATATGAGCATAACTTAAATAATGTTTGCTTATAATATAGAACAATATAATTTCAATATATTAGAGATATATTTCGCAAATTTATGGATCAGCTTTTTAGAATTCCTCTCTGGACAAGGAGAGGACTTGGGATCCCCCATACATGCTCCAGAAAGAAGTTCCCCACAAGGAGATCATAAAACAGCAGGAATCAAGGAATTGCCTTGGCTTCTATGCCCAAACTGTAACTGACACATTTGTGGAAATAGGATTTGCATATTTCCTTTGTTAATCACTCCTGGAAATTGCTTAATGATTTTATGGATACTAAAAACCTGCAAATGGCAAATTTCAATTCACCGAGTGAATTTCCTTCAATCTTTGAGAAATAAGGTTTGTGCAAGTTTAACCTCTCACTGATGAATCCAACCAAGCAAGCACCTTGCAGACATGCTGATCTCTTATTTTAAAACTTTATTGTGTATATCACTTCGGCACTAATGAAAGCAAAACCAGCTCTGGCAAGACCCCTCACAAACCCATATAGTAAAAGCACTGAATTCTCCCTCCTCCCTCTGGGTCAGGTCACATTACCCAATCAAGTAGAAAAATATTTGTCATGGTTCCGACAGATGAAACTCTTCAATTAACTTCAAGGCATTGTTTTGCTTAAAGAACCTTTATTAGAGTAGCACAATATCGGCACGAACATCGGTGAAGCCAAAATCTGAATTCCCCTCCCCTGAACACATAGTATCTAGTGCAAATCCCTCCTCTAATTAACAGTCATAAATCACATTCTGCAATTAATTTGAAACGCAGGCTTTCCCTCCAATTCTCCAACCGACCATTTCTTATCATCTCTTTTTACAAAAAACCTTGACTCTCATACAACTGCAATATTGTTATGTCTAACTAACTCTCATGCACATTCCTCCTCCTCACCCTCCCCCCCCCCCAGTATCATCTAATTCTAACTCGAAGAGTAAAACAAAGTTAAGGGAAATGACTGAATCTCCGTATGTTGTCAAAGCAAGAAGTCCACAAGTCTTAAAGTTGCCAAAGTTGGATACCCCTGCTCTAGAGAATACTATGAGTAGTCAAGGAAACAAACAAATGGATCCATAATGCTGAAAAATATGGAAGGAATAAAGAGGATGGCCAGCAGCAAAATGGATGGACTTGATTATAACTGTAACAGTTGCCATGGTGGATGGCCTCCAGGACCAGGCTGGGGACAGATAGATCATCGTAGACGAGTCAACGTCAGTAGGACGGCACTTAATTTCTATTAGTTAGGTCAATAATGGAGCTGAGATTTGACAGAAAGTCTTCCATATGTACAGTATAACTCACACTATCTTTGTGCATAGCTGCTATATAATTTTGTATTCTTAAAATACCCTTTACTGCAGCGCTATCCTGGGGTTAATATGACTGACTGACTTGGAGAGTTGTTTTTCTCTTTTTGCACAATCTGCATTTATCCCCTTATTTAATCAAACTTTGACTCAATGTCTCCACATATTTATTTTTCCTTTCCTCTTGTTTTCAGAGCTTTCTGCAAATATTGCATCTCCCTAGTTAAGCAAATGCAAGAGGCAGGTGGTGGGGGACAGCAAACAGAAACATTCCATAAAAAGGAGCACCTGAAGTTAGGTTCTCTGGAGTCTTCCTTCTTTCCAACTAGTGCCTGGTACATTATCTCTGAACCCAGCCATGAATTCCCTGGTAGTTCTCGTGCTCCTGGGTCAGATTATAGGATCTACACATAGCTATATGGTGAGGGAGGAGCATTTGAATTGCAACAGCAAAGCTGCTAAATACCGGGCAGATCAAGCTGTGCGCTACATCAACGAGCATAAACTACATGGATACAAACAAGCCCTCAATATAATCAAGACTTTCCATCTCCTTCCCCCGGTAAGTACAAAGGGAGGAAAATTTTCCTAGTTTCATTTACTAAGTAAATAACAGCTAGGTGGTCTTTTCTGATGTTATGCCAGACAATATCTGTAGCCTTCCTGCTGAAATTTGGGCATTTCACGGCCTCTTTCTAGTCAATTTTCTGTAATCTCATAACTTCCATTTCAGTTGAATTGCTAGACAGTGTGGATAATAGGATTGGTAGTCCACCACATCTGGATGGCATCAGATTGGAAAAGCTATCAGGAAAGAGGAAGGTCTATCTTCTCCACTGTCCCAGTGTGAAGGAATCCTCCTTGAACTGGAGGTGTATTTTGCTTTGCAAGGATGGCAATTTGCATAGAAAACAAGACAGCAGAGCCTTTTACTTACGCTAATACTATTTTCAATGAAGTTATTTACAACAGGTATTTACAACTGGAATAATGTCTATGGAGATTCTCAATCATACAGGTCATTGTTGTCCCAAAAGTGTTTTCAAAAAGCAACTGTACTTTCTTGGGGGGTTTTTTTTTCTCATTGAAAACGTTTCATTTTCACCCAAGAAGCTTTTTCAGCTTCCTGGATTAGAAGTGAAATATTTTCAAGGAAAAAAAAACAAGCCCAAGACAGTCCAGTTGCCTTTTGGGAAAGCACTTTTGGGATTACAACTAGACTAGAGCATACAATGTTCCCCTGGTGGCAGGTTTTCCTCTTCCCCTTTAGTTCTCCTGCTTCCTCCTCCTTTCACTCTGTCTCCTTCCCTCACTTCTCAGCTTGTCCAGAGAGAGTGAAAAGAAAGGAATGGGCTGGATTTTAACAGTAGTGCACTCAGCACAGTTTGACTTTCTCCTGGATCTGCTCAGCAGAACATCTACTGCTTCTCTACTGGGGGAGAACCTTTCTCGGGGCCTTCTACCCCGTCCTTCCCCAAAGACTAAGGCTTTTTCAGTGACCAAAGATCTCCATACTCTCTTGGGTACTGCATGACGATACTATCTGCAGCCAGCTGGCCTCCTCTATCTTGGGTGAAGATGTTCCTTCTCTGGGTCTTCACTTCCCTCCTTTCAGGGAAGTTATCTCTGGACTTTTTTTTCTAGCAGAATACAGGTAGATCAGCATTCAACTCTGAAATCTTTGTTGCACTGATGATCTTACCTAGGTCATTATCTTCATTCAGGTAATGAAACGTCTGCAAGGAAACCACCAACCTCAGAGAGCTCCAAGGATTCCACAATTTTTTTCTTCTTCTTCCCCTACTGGGAACTGACAACTGTTCTGTATGCTGAACTTGTCTGTCCAACTTTTTTCTCCAGCCATTCCGTTTGTACAGCCTCCTTCTTTCTTATTTATTTATTTATTTATTTATGAGACTTATATACCGCTTTAAGTACAAGCACTCTCTAAGCGGTGTACACCAGTAAGCAATGTATATATATATATTTACATTGCCCCCAACAATCTGGGTCCTCATTTTACCTACCCCGGAAGGATGGAAGGCTGAGTCAACCTTGAGCCGGTGAGATTTGAACCGCTGACCTGCTGAACACAGTCAGCTAAAGTGGCCTGCAGGACTGCACTCTAACTGCTGCGCCACCTCGGCTCTTCCCTCTCCAATTTTTAGTGAGACCAGCAGCATGTTCTGTTCAGCAACTGGATGTCCTGCTATGGCTCCAATTTTGTATTTTGGTTATTTAAAAGGAAATATTTTTAGATTTCCACTTGAAAAAGATATCTTAGGCCAAGGCTGGTATAGACATGACATTGTTTCTTCACCAGAGTCACCCCCTGATCATAGTTTGTTGTTTCTATTGTTCCTTCAGCAAGTCAAAATGGGTGCCTGGTCCAGGATTGGCAGGAAACTGGATCCTTATGTTGAGCTAGGACCAACAAATTCCTTTTTGACAGTTCTACAAGTTCCCACATCTTTATAATAAACACTATTCAGATGCTGGATGGAGAGTTACAATGTAAGCCACATCCTTTCCCTGGTCACGCAATGCATCACAAAAGAGGCAGGGTTTGCATTCTGTTGCTCCTTCCACCATTTTGCTGATAGTGACACACAATGCCCCCATCCCAATGAATGCTTATGCTTCTGACTGCTTCTTCTTCAGCT